TTACATGGAATATACTCAGAGGTCTCCAGCTCAATCGCAAGGCCAGAAACAACCGCAAGGCCAGAATCCGACCCTGTTTCCACCTCCACAAACACCTCCGGCTCTTTTTGCACCGGCAGCACCAGCACCAGCTCCAGCTGCACTGATGCTAGCAGCTGCAGCACATGCACCCGCAGCACATGCACCCGCAGCACCTGCAACCGCAGCACCTGCAACCGCAGCACCTGCAGCCGCGGCACCTGCAGCAGGCAACGCCACAGAAGAGATGGCAACCCTAGCAGCTTTCTTGCGCGCAGGCGCCATTACTTTTGGTGAATTCATGGAACACGCGAAGCGTCTAACGCAGCCGTGAATCATCACGCTCGGGTGCTTTCTCCCATGATGACTGCCTGTTCAATAGGAACAAATGGGAGTTTTTAGCGATAACCCGGATCTTATTATACTAGAGTATCGGAATCTACGCTAGTTGCATACTACCCCGAGAATCGTCTATAAGGAGCAGGTCCTTGTATGCCGCTCGTGCGAGCGAACCTGCCATCGCGAGTCCAAAATCAGCACTCTCGCGAGCCACTACACCGCAGCACGTCTCTCTATGCGGAAAGTGGTGACATCTATGAGAAGCCGTGCAAATGCGCTCCTCATAAGGCAGGTCATTTACATGCCAGCTTTTCAAGTTGTTGTATATGACTATCTCCTTCCGATAAGGCGTCCCAAAAAGCATGCATTTGCAGAGGGCAGTTTTCTTAAGCCCCAAAATAGAATGAAACACATCCTTGCAAATGGGCTGCTTTGGGCCATAGCCCGCAGGTATTTCCATGATCACCTTGCAAAGCGGGTTCACCTGCCATGCGGCGATCATCAGCAAACTTATCCACATCAACGTCTCGTTGCCAAACTCAATCTTTCGCGCTTGCTCCTCCGTAAGAGGAGCACCATTCACAAGGTCTATCGAGCGACCATGGTGTGCCTCTGACTGCTGCGAAAACGAGCAACAATTCCCAGCAAAAACACAAACACCGGGCGGACAACGCTTGAAGTAATGACGTTTGTACAACCAAAAGTCACGGAACGAACAGAGCACGTGCGGACACATGTTCGGATCACCATCCACGCCGATGCACCCGCATCTGCCATTACTAATAGCGGTTGCAAAAACGTGAAGTTGTGCGACCCAAACTCGTAGGCGAAATCCCCATATTTTTCAGGAGCATTGAGCCCACAAGGTGGAAGAGGCGTACTCCTTTTTTTGGTCCCATTGTTACTGCAGCAGATGGAGGCTTCTCGCACGCGCAGCTGCTCCATTATACGCGCAAGACGTTCCTTAGCTTCGTCCATGTCTCGACGGTAGCTTTCTCCGATCCAAACGACCTTCGACTTCTTTGCGGGCGAAGACATGACGCACGAAAAAAAAAACCGGCAACCCGCGCCCCAACCCTACCTCCACACTCTCGGAAAACACAAACGAGCACGCCAGAGGCAGCGAAATCGCACGTTTGCAGCGACACGAAGACGCCGCGCGCGGGGCGCTGCGAGCAGCGCTGAATGCCCCGGCACGGGGCGCCCTTCCGCAGCCCGCGGGGCCCCGAACGCCCCGGGCGGGCCGAGCTAGCACAGCGGGTGGGTCGCGAAGCCCACCGGAGGTCCTGGGGCAGCGATTCCACGCTAAACGCCCACCATCGTCTAAGCCGCTCTAGACGATAGACTAACGCGGCCTTAGCGAATAAAGATTGCCGGGTCAAAGTCTGTGATACCCCGGGGAAGCGGCGAGCTAAAAATAGCAACAAAGAAACGTAAAGACCGCAATTGAAGCACTACGAAACTACGCTTGAGCTGGCACCTGAAACTCCACTAGTTCCCAACCGACCTCGCTCGCCTATCCCCCAACCTACTTACATTTTTAGCGCATGCATCCTAGTCCTCCGAGCAAAATAGAACTAGCTTCAAAATCTCAACTCCGTCCGGGGGAGGACACGTTATATGGTAGTGCTTGTTCCCGCGAATCAAGACACCGTCGCCCGGCTGCTTTAAAGGCAGCCACACCTACAAAAGTTCCATCACAACACACAACCATGAAAAACGTACTTTGGGACATGTTTGAGACGAAGGTAACGTCCGGATGTGAACTCCACTTTTTTCCTGAGCGTACTCTTCCGCATCTTCACTTTCATCGTGAGTATCACTTCTAGAAAGAACACAGATTATGGCGACATCATTGGCATTGTGTAAATCGAGATGCTCCTCAAAACATGCGT